AAACAAACAAACTAACAAACTAACTAACAAACAAACTAACTAACAAACTAACTAACAAACAAACTAACAAACAAACTAACACACTAACTAACAAACAAAACTAACAAACAAACAAACAAACAAACTAACAAACAAACTAACACTAACAAACTAACAAACAAACAAACTAACAAACAAACTAACAAACAAACTAACAAACTAACTAAACAAAAAAACTAACAAACAAACTAACTAACAAAACTAACTAACTAACAAACAAAACTAACAAACTAACTAACAAACAAACAAACAAACTAACTAACAAAAAACAAACTAACAAACTAACAAACACACTAACTAACAAACTAACAAACTAACAAACTAACAAACAAACATGTGAGGACAGGTCACAAAATCAAAACTCAACTTTGGATCAGAAAATAAAATCTGTCAGTTAAAAGACCAAGCTTCAAAATGAACTTTTCAGAGCTTTTAAACAGGCTGTACTTGTTTCTCTTCTCATTCACACTCTCAAAGTTTCCTTTTTCTTTCCTTTTTTGCTCTCTTCTCTGTCTCTCTCTCTTTATCTCTTCTTTCACATTCCTCTCTCTACCTCTCTCTACTCTCTCTCTCTCTGTCTTTGTCTCGCTCCTTTCGCTCTCCTGTCTCTATCTCTCTATCTCTCTCTCTTTCCTCTTTTGCTCTCTTCTTTCTATCTCTCTTTCTCTCTGTTGCTCCCCTTTCACACTCCTCTCTCCACCTCCCTCTCTCTCTATCTCTCTCTTTCTCTCTCTCTCTCTCCTCTTTTGTTGTCCTCTCTCTCGCTTCTCTTTCGCATGCTCTCTTCCCACTGCCCCCCCCCCCTCTCTCTCTCTCTCTCCCCTCTCTTTCGGTCTCTCTTCTTTCTCTCCCAGCTCTCTCTCTTTTCTTTCTCTCTGCTCTCTCATCTTTCTGCTTTCTCTCATCTTTCTCTCTGTCTCTGTCTCGTCTTTCACTCTCCGCTTTCTCTCGTATTTCCTCTCTCATCTCTCTCTCTGTCTCTCTGGTCTTTAACTCTACTCTTTCTCCCTCCTTTCTCTCTCTCTCTCTCTCTGTCTCTCTCATCTTTCTTTCTCTCTGTCTCTCTCATCTTTCTTTCTCTCTGTCTCTCTCGTCTTTCTTTCTCTCTGTCTCTCTCTCTGTCTCTCTCATCTTACTCTCTGTCTCTCTCTCGTCTTTCTTTTTCTGTCTCTCTCGTCTTTCTCTCTGTCTCTCTCATCCTTCTCTCTGCTCTTTCTCTCTGTCTCTCTCTCTGCTTCTCTCATCTTTCTCTCTGCTCTCTCTCCTCTTTCCAGTCTGCCTCTTTCTCTTGTCTTTCTCCCTGCTCTCTCTCTTCTCTCTGCATTTATAAATCTCTTGGTTAAAGCAGACCTATCGTTAAAATGGACTTTTCAGAGCTTTTATCCAGGCTCTACTTGTTTCTCTTCTCATTCACACTCTGAAGGTTTTAATAGTTTGCAGTAATGGACGAGCTGTTCCTCTGTGTGTCCAGACCAGCAGCACAAGACCAGACCGTCTCATCACACTGCATCATCATCTCCAGATCATCTCCAGATCATCTCCAGACTGTTTCAAACCCCCAAAGCTCCAAAGGCTCAAATTAAAGAGCAGCTATTTTACGTATGAGGTATTAACTGCTAAAACATCACACATTTATATCAACTTGTTAACTTTTATAGTTTTTAATATAGACTATATTCACCAAAACAACTTATTAGACAACAACACTTCAGAGCAAAATCAGCGTACATCCAACTGATGAAACTACTGCATCACATCAGGTTTGTCAAGTTGCTGCACAACAAAAAGTGGAGTGTTAAACTGACTCTCACAGAATCAACTTGAACATTTTCTCAGAGTTTATATGAGTCCAGTCTGTTCTAGAGTTAATTTAACATTTTTTGAAATGTTCATTAAGTAACATTGGACTAAAGTTCCTGTTAAACCCTGAAATCCAGAGTTATATTAACGTTTTGAGAGTAAACAAATAACACTTTATAGAGTTATCCTTATTTCGCTAAACAACACAGGATTTGTTTTATTTTATTTTATTTTTACTTTATTTGAGTTAATTTAAGATGAAATTATGTACAAAACTGGTTCAAACTGGTCTTCTCTCACAAGAGTTTGAAGTGGTGAATGGGAGGAGCTAAATTAATCAACTCTGGCAAAGAACCCCAACTCAAACCCCCATTTAACATTCAAATAGTTAAAATAACACTTTTGGTGTTAAAAACAACTCTGAAATATTTTACTCAAAAATTTTAACCCTCCAGTTTTTGCTGTGTGTGTACACTTTTGTATCATGTTTTTGTATGTTTATGGAGAATTGTTGTGTGGGAGCATGGGGGACGTAGACTTATAGACTCAGGATAGGACAGAATCTCACCACTCAAAGTAAGGAGGGTCTGAATAGGGCCCTGGAGAGATCACTAGATGACTCAAACATGCAAACATGGATAACATCTCAAACGTCATCAAGTTTGTTTTTGGTGAGGAACAGCATTAGAAACAAACAGATTTAGCATGAATCCCCCTCTTAAGCCCTGTTTTTATCCAGTCACTATCGATGTCCAGTATTTGTCTTGCTGTTGTGCTGCACGCTGACTGTGACAGACCACACTGACTTATCAAAGCCTGATCCCATCAGATCTCAGAAGCTCAGCAAGGCCAGACCTGGATAGTACTTGGATGGGAGACACTGGGAAAATCAGGTGCCACAGTGGGCATGAGTCACAAAAAACATTGTCATTGTGTCCTTAGGCAAGACACTTCACCTACATTGCCTAGTATGAAAGTGGAGTGTATGAAAGTGGAGTGTATGAAAGTGGAGTGTGTGTGGGTGATGGTGCTGGTCTGAGGGACCTATGGTGCTGGTTGGCTGGCAGCTGTGCTTCCGTCAGTCTGCCCCAGGGCAGCTGTGGCTACAACAGTAGTTTACCACCACCAGGTCTGGACTGAATGAATAATGCTGAATAATCCTCTGTAAAAGCGTTTTTGTGACAAATGTCTGCGCTATATTTATTTATCTAGACTTATCTACTATAGCGCTCTGAAGGGGGAGTGACTTAAGCCGGGAGTACACTGTGTGATTTTTTTGGCCCTTTCTGAGCTGATTTTTCACTTGTGCGACACATTTTTGGGTTTCAGTTTTGTCTTAATCATGTGTCGTGCTTCGTTCAATAAACATGGGGTAACGAGAACAATTAATACTCCTGATCAAGAATATCAAACCTGTCTGAAATCCAGTCGCCTCTCGTGACGGTTTGACACTGTTTCACACAAGTAATTCCACGAGCTGTAAATTTTTACACCATGTGATCTGGTAGTACAGTTTGAACTGGGGCTGAGTGAAACCATCCAAAATGTCTCACAGTGTACGTCTGGTGTTATCAGCCACACAGATGTCACATGTTAATAGGTTTTCAGAGAATAAAACAATTTCAAAACAACACAAGGTAACATGGTGATCTACATATGTTACGTTTTAGCACGGATACACAGGGGAGTCAAAAGCGTCATGTTGGTACAAATGAAAAAAAAATAAAAAATAAAAAATCATTTCTACTGAGTCAGCAGAATAGTTTCTTTTATTAAATCGTTTTAGATGAATATTGTGATTTAAAATGTACAAATAATAACAGAATGATCCACAGGGGTCATAGATTCAGACTGATTTAATCCCCTATGGAAGTCAGACCCCTCCCCCGGGGTATCGGCCTTTTTTTGTAGTATAAAGTCAGATACTGGCCTTTAAAGTAAATGTTGTGTAGGATAAAGTGTGTGGTGGTTTGAGGCTCGTGTGAGTTCAGATAAATCTGCTCTTTTACATCTGTCATTTATTCCACGAGATGACATTCACATTCAACAGCAAACTCTGAGCGCCCTCCTCTCTCCTCTATCTATCTATCTCTCTCCTCTTTCACTCTCCTCTCTCTTTCTCTCAATCTCTTTCTCTCTCTCTCATTTTTCTCTCTGCTTGCTTCCCTCTCCATCTCTCTCTCCTCTTTCTCTCTGATTTTCTCTCTCTCTCATCTTTCTCTCTTCTCTCTCTCATCTTTCTGTCTCTCTCTCTTGTCTTTTTCTCTGCTACCTCTCTCTGTCTCTCGCTCTCGTTGTTCTCTCTCCTCTCTCTCTGTCTCTCCTTCTTGAAATATATGTGAAATCTGTGCATATTTGTCTGTAGTTGAGCATAAAATAAATATTCGTAGACTCTTGAATGAGTCCAGTCTATAAAAAAATGAAGTGACGTGTGTATGTTTTGTACGTTATAGGTCATTTCATTTCTTGTTCTTGTAGAATATTGAAATCCTCTGATTCTTAATATCACTCTATTGATTTTATTTGTCCACATCCACTTTTGTCTCTGAATGCGTCTAAACTAAACTGTCTTTGTGATGCACTTAGGTTTTGTTCAGACTGCAGGGCTAATGATCAGTCCAGATCTTTTGTGAAATTCTTTTTTTTTTTTTTTTTTTTTTTCCGAGGTTCACATTTCCAATGAAATGAGCTCCAGTGTGAACTTTAAATGTCCCAAAAGTGTCCCACAGTCTACAAGTCACTTTGTATTTAGCCCTTTATTAAGTCTGGTGATTGTCTCAACAAAATGATTAAACATATACATGATTTTATTGTATTTTATTGAATTTAATTTAGTTGTATTTTATTGAAAATGGCACAGATTAAAAGTCTGTCATGTTTATATTCAGAAAACTCACATCTGAGGCAATGAGTATTTGTCTTAAAGGACAAAATATCATCAACTCATAAAGGATGACAGACCAGTACACGAGGGAAAGGTCCTTCATGTATTTCATGTATTTGTGTGTCTCATCAGCGTCCAGCTGTAGCTCAGTGACTTTAGGAAAAGAGCAGATTGACCCAGAGCCGCCTCATGTTTCATTCTAATTCACTGTTACACAAGTGAGTCCATCTCTGAGCAGCTCCATACTTTGTCATTCACACACCACACTGACACTGACCTGCAGGTTTCCACAGAAGGGGTAGATGCCCGAGTCCGAGATGTGGTTGTCCAGGCTGTTGGGGTTGCGGGTTCGACTCCTCTGGTAGGGCGGGGTGGTGGAGGTGGTGGTCTGTACAGGTGACAGGGGCTGCCACACGCCCACGTCTGTGCCGTTCCCAAACGCCTGGATGGCATTACCTGCACGGGACAGAGGAGAGGAGTTAGGAAGAGCATCACTTCAGACTGGAGCTTTGGAAAAGAGTTTAAATTCCATAAAAATGACATAAGCACATCTCCTGATCTGAGGTAAACATGTTCAAATCAAAAGCAGCTTTTACTGAACACAATAATGCTGATTTATTCTTAATTACAAAAACATTGCACAAGATGGTTGTTTATGTTATAATTTGGTGTTTTTGTTGTAAAGAATCTCAAGAATCCAGTTGGTTTAAACTTTATTTCCAGAGTTTAGTGCTCAATGATTCTGCAGAATCCTCTGTAATTCTTTCTCTTTTTCCTCATAAGTGGCCATATTTGTTTTGATACAAATGGACCATGTGTGTCCCTGATTGGCTAATGCACTTGTCAATCACACCTGTCTGGACTCTGAGGGGTTCACCACGGACACTCATATACTCTGGTGAGGCTGTACTCAAGTACAGCACAAGTGTGGATTGTAGATGTCAGGCCTGTGCAGATGTCATGACTCTGCCTGGAGTAGATCTTACAGTTGTGTTTCCTCAGGCTCAGTGAGTCCTCGTCCTCTTTGCAAATTATACATGAAAAGATTTGTGGTAAACACGTTTCATATTTACCTCTGTCCATTATAGAAGCTGAAATATGAGGCGATATTTCTTCACTGTTAATGGCTTCTGTTTGTGGTAATGTTAAATAAATCAGCCATGAGCCATGAGTCAGTGAAACAGCCGACTCTGATAAACTCTGATAAACCTGAACACCCCCCACCCCCCTCTGTGTACATATATATATATATATATATATATATATATATATATATATATATATATATATATATATATATATATATGTGTGTGTGTGTGTGTATGTATATGTATATATATATATATATATATATATATATATATATATATATATATATATATATATATATATATAGTTTGAGCAGTGTTTTGTAGCGGGAGCGTGAATAAAGAGGACGCACATTTAAATGTCACTTGGTCGTCCTGAAGCTGAATACAAATAACATGTGCCCCACACAAATGTCACTGAGGGTGTTTTTTTTGACGGTGTTACTGCGGAGAGAATAACACTGATGTAAGAGTCTAATGAAAGTCTAATCCAGACTGTGCCCTCTGATGAACCTTTACTTCTGTCATACTGGAGGTTCAAATACACAACTGTATTTTGTTTTCTTCATAAATGTTTCGAAGGTTATCTGCACAATCTGTGAGCAGAGCTTCTTTGTGTTTTTAAAGTCCAAACATCTTCACTGCTGATCTGAAGCCACACTGATGGATAAATAGATAGATAGATAGATAGATAGATAGATAGATAGATAGATGGATTTAGATTGCTTTGCCTGGAATGTTCCACAGTGTAGCATTATGTACTTATTCCGTTAGAGGCTCTTCACAGACGTGACCTGTAACTTGGTCTAATGGTGTCACATGGACACAGGGAGGGTAAATGCCATACTGTGGAATATTCCAGATAAAGTAAAAACACAACAAAGAGCAGTGTCTCTGTGAACGTCCCTGTCTTCCACACCTGTGTATGAAACATGGTGAGAGGACAAAGAGCTGTGTGCACACTGTCCCTGTGCCTCTGCTCGTCTGCCTCACCTCTGACCCCGGGGCCTGTTGGCTCAGCTAATGAAGGCTAATTAGCATTAGCCACATTAGCTCCCTGTGGCTGCAGGACGAAGGTAAAGATGAACTACAGAAGAGAGAGAAGCTCAAACACGACTCAAACACTGCAGCAGGACGTGAAACAACATGAGCCCCACACCACACACACTCCTGCACCACACACACCCCTGTACCACACACACACCCCCACACCACACACACACACACACCACACCCCCACACCACACCACACTCCTGCACCACACACACCCCTGTACCACACACACACCCCCACACCACACACACACCCCCACAACCACACACACACCCACACCACACACACCCCCACACACACCCACACACACACCCACACCACACACACCCCTGTACCACACACACCACCACACACCACACACACCACACACACCCACACACACCCACACACCCACACACACACCCACCCACACCACACACACACCCTGTACACACACACCCACACACCACACACACCCCCACACCACACACACCCTGTACCACACACACCCCCACACCACACACACTCCTGCACACACCACACACCCCTGTACACACACACACACACACCCCACACCACACACACCACCACACACACACACACCACACCCACACCACACACACCCCTGTACCACCACACACCCACCACACCACACACACACACCACACACCACACACACCCTGTACCACACACACCCCCACACCACACACACTCCTGCACCACACACACCCCTGTACACCACACACACACACCCCACACCACACACACCCCCACACCACACACACCCTGTACCACACACACCCCCACACCACCACACACACCCCACACCACACACACACCCCACACACCACACACACCCCTGTACACACCACACACCCCCACACCACACAAACCCCACACCACACACACCCCTGTACCACACACACACCCCCACACCACACACACCCCCACACCACACACACCCCACCACACCACACACCCCCACACCACACACACCCCCACACCACACACACTCCTGCACCACACACACCCCCACACCACACACACACCCCCACACACACACACCCCTGTACCACACACACCCCCACACCACACACACCCCCACACCACACACACACCCGCACCACACACACTCCTGCACCACACACACTCCTGCACCACACACACCCCCACACCACACACACACCCCCACACCGCACACACCCCTGTACCACACACACTCCTGTACCACACACACCCCTGTACCACACACACTCCTGTACCACACACTCCTGCACCACACACACTCCTGCACCACACACACTCCTGTACCACACACACACCTGCACCACACACACTCCTGCACCACACACACTCCTGCACCACACACACCCCCACACCACACACACCCCTGTACCACACACACCCCTGTACCACACACACCCCTGTACCACACACACCTGCACCACACACACTCCTGTACCACACACACCCCTGTACCACACACACACCTGCACCGCACACATCCCTGTACCACACACACTCCTGTACCACACACACCCCTGTACCACACACACCCCTGTACCACACACACACCTGCACCGCACACATCCCTGTACCACACACACTCCTGTACCACACACACACCTGCACCACACACACTCCTGTACCACACACACCCCTGTACCACACACACACCTGCACCGCACACATCCCTGTACCATCCTGCACATGTGACAGAACAGGCCTCATGTGACAGAGCAGAACCTCCAGAACCTTCCCTCCCTGAGCTGCAGAGCTGCACTAGCACTGACTCATGACAGTGCAGGTGCTGGGTTCAGATCAGACAGAGGTGTTTTTGGTTTTATTTGTAAATGATTTTTACCAATGAGTTTCTTTGTTTCACACACATCATCACAAGAACACTGCCCCCTGTGGGCTGCTCTGTTTCTACTGTTTCTACTGTTTATGTCTAAATACAACACTGACTAAACACATGTTGAGGACACTGTTAGAACATGATTCCAGACTCATAAAAGTCATTTGGACGTAATATGGCCGCACAGATCTGGATTCAAAATAATCTTTTAGATCCTTCAATTCACCTGAGCCTCATGAGGAAGGTCGGAATCAGTCCAATGCTGCTCATCTGTAAAAACATTCTCCACTCAAGGTCTAAACCATTTCTACATCCATAGAAGCACACACATACACCGATTTGAGACAGATGCCCTTCCACACACACACACACACACGCACACACACACACACACACACACACACACACACACACACACACATGCACACGCACACGCACAGTGTGGTCGTCATCAGAGTAAACAGTGAGTTGTGAGCACATTTTACACATTTAGCGCACATTTAATCCAACTCATGTTGAATGTTTTCATGAGCACAAATGTCAGGGGAGCAAGAAGCGCATCAAAGTGCACACACTCTCATGAAGAGGGTTAAGAGCGAGTTTACTTTAAAGGGCCTGTTTTTCTGTGTAGTTGAGCAGAATGAGCCCTGCTGCAGATAGACTGTAGAAACAGCTCCTGAGGTCAGGAACCAGGACATTAGTAGCATGATAGTTGTAGTTTTTGTGACAGCAGAACTCCGCTCTGGCCTCTGACAGTTGTGAAAAGTGCTTATAAACTCTTATAAACTCTGGTGGTGAATAATGAAGATGCTCAGAGCATCAGGGAGCAGACAGGGACAAACACGGCCCTGGACTTTTCCCCAGCATTCAGTCCACATTAACACTTGCTCTCCATGCAGTTTGGCCGTGATTGAAATTGCCCCATTCAGCCCCATTCAGATTCACTGTTGAACAGATGTTCTGGACTTTTCTAGAACATATAGATTGTCATTGCACCCTGCTCTGAATTTGTGAGGAATAACTCTAGACCACTGTAAAAGATGTAGTTCCATTAGAGCACAGAGTGTGAGACTCTGAGCACAGACTCCAGAGTCCAGCAGGGACGCTCACATGACCCCACTGTCACAGTAAAACTCACAACAACTAACATGGTAATGTGCACTTCCTGTTTATAGGACAATAAAACTCTTCATAAATAGACAGAGACAACACACACAGACTTATTCACATCCTGTGCTTCAAGAATGTATCAGGATGGACAAATGTGAGTTTAACATTGACAAAAGAGGAAACAGTCGCTTGAGTTTCCTCTGAGGAGGAGGAAGATGAAACTGAGCTGAACTCTCTTCATTTACAGATCCACAGACTCACTCTCTTTTCTTCTGTCCCGGGTGTTTCACGAGCTTCTGTGCTGTGACAGTGTGAGCTCGGAGCTCTGCAGCTCACTCACGGAGCTCTCCTCTAATCATCTCCAAACACACTCACACCAGCACTCTCCTCTTCCTCCCTCCTGCTTCTTCCCTTTTCCCCTTCCTCCTCTACTTCCTCCTCCTGTCTTACCCCCACCTCTTCCACCTCGCCCTCTCCTCCTCTTTCCTCAGATCTGCCTGTTCATGTAGTACCCTCCCTCCTCTCATGACCCTTCCTCTTCCTTCCTTTTCTCCTCTCCCTCCTTCCATGGGTCATGAAAGGCTCTGTAGTCGCCCCTTCCTCCTTTCATGATTATGATCCTTCTTCTTCTTCCTTTTCCTCCCTCCTCCTCCTCCTCTCCTCTTCCTCTCCTGACCCCTCAGCGGCCGAGTGTCAAACGCTGCACACTTTGTCAGTTCCATTTATGCTGAGTCGCCCTAATGAGAGAGAGAGAACAGGGGAGAGAGAGAAGGGAGAGAGGGAGAGAGAGAGGAGAGAAAGGAGCCAGTGAAACGAAAGAGAGAGCCAGAGAGAGAAAGAAGTGAGTGAGAAACAGAGACAGAGTGTGAAAGAGAGAGAGCGGACAGCAGACTGAAAGAAGTGAATGAAAAGAAGTGTGACAAGAGACAAAAAGAGAGGAGAGAGAAAGAGAGAGAAAAAGAGCGAATGAGCGGAGAGAACAGGCAGCAGTCAAGAAAAAGGGAGAGGATAGAGGAAGAAAGAGAGAGAAGTCGAGGAAAGAAAAGGATAGATAGAGAGGCAGAAAATGGAAAGAGAGAGAGAGAGAGAGAGAGAGAGAGAGAGAGAGGTGGTAGAGGAGAATGGAGAAAGGGAAGAGAGAGACAGAGCTAGGGGGGTAGAGAATAGAGTGAAAGACCCTGACACACTCTGTTCCACCTTGTAATGTCATGTGGTGATACAGGAAGTGCTCCATTGTGTTTTTAAACTCCACACTCTTTCACTAGAATCATTTGGATCATTTCAGTCCTGAAATTGTCGATCTCCTGAACTAAAGGTAAAAAGGAACTGTTCACATGGAAACTTCCACCAGAGCATTTAGATCTCTGGAGCTGTAGACAGAATAATAACATGTAATAACATGTGAATGAAACAAAAGACAAGTCCAGGTGTGTTTTTGAGGAGAGAACATTAGAACATGACTTAGACTCTGTTCACACTGCAGACTGAAGTGACCCAAATCCGATTTTTTGGCCTCTATGTTCCTGTATCTGATCTTTTAATGACAGTCTGAACCACACAGATCAGATTTTTTCAAATGTGACCCAGGACACCTGGATATGTGCTCCTGAAACTGATACATATCTGATCTTTTGACAGTGTTGAGGAGTAACAGATTACATGTACTGGAATTACGTAATCAGAGTACAAATATTCAGTTACAGTTACTGTTTTAATGAGTGGTAATTGGATCCTTTGTTGAAATAAATGAATTACATGGCGATACGTTCCTGTTTTCACATTTTGGGCTTTTTTTTTTTTTTGGTATTTCCACTCATTGTCAAACACTAAACCAGGTCTAAACAAAGTCTAAACCAGGTCTAAACCACGTCTAAACAGGACTAAATCAGGATTTAACAGGACTAAATCATGCTGCATGGACCATGCCTGCTCCTCTTCTATCAATAATATTTTTTAATATGTTTATGTAAAGTCTGGGCTTTTTATTTTCTTTTAGCAGACAAAACTTCTTATATTAAGATCCTCATTTTTGCTTCTCTACACAAAATCAAGTAAGTATTCAGATTAAGTTACTCACTTTAAGTAATTTAATGGATTCTGTTACAAACTACATTTTGGGGTATGTAATCTGTAATCTGTAGGGGATTACATTTTAAAAGTAACACTCCCAACACTGTCTTTTGACATGTGACTTCAGTCTGAACGGCCAAGGTGCATTCATCCACCTACACGTTATAACAAGCGACAAATGTACACAAGCAGTCTTCTTGTCACACGAAAATTGTTAATGAACTCTGTGTCACTGAAGCACATCTCTATCCCACCACTCTTGGCTCCGTCTCCACATCCACACGTTCCTTTTAACAGACTGTTCCACAAAACACCACAACCAAAAACCTCGTCCTTCTCCTTCTCAATCTCCTCTTTAAAACAAGTAAGTTGTTCATGTTCTGGCTCCGGTACAAGAGGAAATGGAATGCTGCATCCATGTTTGAACAACTTCCATAAACACAGAGCACGCTCGCTGCGGTTGACGTCGTCGTGTCTCCAGTGCACATGCGGGACACTTTCAGGCGGTTTAATGTTCACACTGGAGTCACATACAAGTCACATTTAATTGGAAATGTGAACGACCTCGCAAAAACATCGGATTTCACAAAAAAATCTGAATTGAGCGTTAAGCCCTGCAGTCTGAACGTAGCCTTAGAGTCCGTGCTGTGTGATTTGTACCTTCACATCTGTCTTCAACAGCACAGAGAACAGATCATTTGACGTTTTGTTCACAGTTATTTTTTTAACTTGACTCAGCTCAGACTCAATCGACGCTGAGATCACATCACATTAGAGTCTCTCTCAGATGAAGTGTTCAGGCGGCTGCAGTTCATTTCAGAATCACTTAAACTCACTCTCTTCCGTTAAAAGCCTCGCAGAGCGCAGGCCTGTGGTGGCCCGCTGCTCTTTTTCCCAGAATGCACTGGGCTCCGGCCTCTTTGGGCCTGAAATCGCAGCTTTCAGTCAATGCAGTCACAGCGGAGTCAAGTTACACGCTTTTCACACGCCTAAGTGCTCTTGCACACTCACACAAGAGACAGAGAGAGACAGAGAGACAGAGAGACAGAGAGAGAGACAGAGACAGAGAGAGAGACAGAGAGAGACAGAGAGAGACAGAGAGAGACAGAGAGAGACAGAGAGACAGAGAGAGACAGAGAGAGACAGAGAGAGAGACAGAGAGACAGAGAGACAGAGAGAGACAGAGAGAGACAGAGAGAGACAGAGAGACAGAGAGAGAGAGAGACAGAGAGACAGAGAGAGACAGAGAGACAGAGACAGAGAGACAGAGAGACAGAGAGACAGAGACAGAGATAGAGAGAGACAGAGACAGAGAGAGACAGAGAGAGACAGAGAGACAGAGAGACAGAGAGACAGAGAGACAGAGAGACAGAGAGAGACAGAGACAGAGAGAGGGACAGAGAGAGACAGAGACAGAGAGAGGGACAGAGAGAGAGAGAGAGACAGAGACAGAGAGAGAGAGAGAGACAGAGAGAGACAGAAACAGAGAGACAGAGAGAGGGACAGAGAGAGAGACAGAAACAGAGAGAGGGACAGAGAGAGAGAGAGAGACAGGGAGAGACAGAGACAGAGACAGAGAGAGAGACAGGGAGAGACAGAGACAGAGAGACAGAGGCAGAGAGAGACAGAGAGAGACAGAGACAGAGAGAGAGACAGAGAGAAAGACAGAGAGAGGGACAGAGAGAGAGAGAGACAGAGAGACAGAGAGAGAGAGACAGAGAGAGAGAGAGACAAAGAGAGAGGACAGAGAGGCAGAGAGAGAGAGACAGAGACAGAGAGAGAGAGAGAGTGCTTCTCTACACTCATGTAAGAGAGAGAGAGGGGCAGAGAGAGACACACACAGAAAAAAGAGAGAGACAGCGAGACGAAAGAGAGAGAGAGAGAGAGAGAGAGACGGAGAAAGAAAAAGAGAGAGAGAAAGAAAGGGAGAGAGAGGATTTGATGATAAACTCAGGGGGGACAGAGAAAGACAGAGAGACAGAGGAGTAGAGAGAGACACACACAGAAAGACAGGGAGAGGGAGAGAGAGGGACAGGAAAGAGAGAGAGAGGAAGAGATGAGAGAGAGAGTTATAGGGAGAGAGAGAGAAATGGGGGGATAGAGAGAGAGAAAGAGAGAGTGACAGACAGGGAAAGAAAAAGAGAGAGACACAGACACTTAAAGAGAAAGAGAGAGAGAGAGAGAGAGAGATTTGAAATATTTAAAGATAGATTCAGGGAAGGGGGCAAGAGAAAGACAGAGAGAGAGGGAGAGAAAAAGAGAGACACAAGAGAGAAAGAAGGGCAGAGAGAGAGACAACACACACACAGAAAGAGAGGGAAAGAGAGAGAGAGAGAGAGAGAGGGAGACAGAGATAAACACAGAGAAAGAGAGATGGAGTGACAGACAGGAAGAGAAAAAGAGAGAGACAAAGAGAGAGAGAGAGGATTTGATGATAGACTGAGGAAAGGAGAGGTGTGAAAAAGAGTTTTCCTACAGTTTTGCTTTATCTGTAATGTTTTTAAGTACAGAATAAATCATACCTGTAGTACACGTCAACAATACAAAAAATAAAATAATGAACTCATAGAGAAAACAAAAAATGTATCAAATAAAAAAAGAAAAGAAAAGAAAGATAATATTGAAGAGGTGCTCACGCAGACAGGTGTTGTCGGTGAAGAAGTGGGTGAAGCGGTCGCACTCGTCCTTGTTGTTGCCGCTGTTGCTGCAGTTACAGTAAGGAGACACGCTGATCTTTGGAGAGCGCAGGTAGTTTGGAGTCATCACCGTCCCTACAGAACACAGAGCTGTCAGTAAAACACACACACGCAGTACTTTATACTGCAGTACGTGAGGGGGTGGAGACGTGATCTACCGGGTCAGTGCCCAAGTCGTTTTTAGCTCCATGTTACTTCAGATTTTTATATTTGCTGCATTTTATTTCTATTTTCAAACTGAACATTTCAATTGTGTGTGCGTGTGTGTGTGTGTGTGTGTGCAGGTGTGTGTGTGTGTGTGTGTGTGTGCAGGTGTGTGTGTGTGTGTGTGTGTCTGGTGAGGGGGGTTATGGGTGATTCTTGAGTTCAGGGGAAGTGTGTGTCTGTGGCTGGAGAGGAGAGGAGGAGAGAGGGAGGAGGAGAGGAGGAGAGAGAGAGAGAGGACAGAGAGAGGAGGAGAGGAGGAGAGAGAGAGGAGGAGAGGAGGAGAGAGAGAGGAGGAGAGGAGGAGAGAGGGACAGAGAGAGGTGAAGAGGAGGGGAGAGGAGGAGAGGGGGAGATGGAGATGAAAGAGGGAAGGGAGAATGAAAGAGAAAGAGAGGAGTGAGTGGGAGAAGAGGTGAGGAGAGAGGAGGAAATATGATACAAGAATAAGAGAGGGGGTATGGGGGAAGATGGGGGGATGAGGTGATTGGAGAGGAAGAGGAAGTGAGAGAGGAAAGGAGAGAAAGAGAAACGGGGAAGGAGTGACAAAGAGGTGGGGGAAAAAGAGAAGTGGGAGAGAAGGAGGAGCAAAGGAGATGATGAGAGGATGATGAGGAGGAGGAGAGGAGGGACAGTGCAGTATTCTTTTTGTAAAACAAATTTGGGCTCTGAGAGTTCAGGGAGAGGGTAGTACTTCAGTACTGCAGTACTCACTCGTATCAAGTACTGTGTATGTGGTACTTCTGTGCTAAAATACTTTTGAAAAACACTGATCACCTTCAGGTAACACACACACCCCCACAAACACACACAAACGTGTGGTAAAATACTGCCTTGCGTGTGTGTTGTGGTGTGTTGTGTGTTGTGGTGTGTATTGTGTGTTGTGTTGTGTGTTGTGTGTGTGTGTGTGTGGTGTGTGTTGTGTGTGTGTGTGTGTTGTGTGTTGTGTGTGTGGTGTGGTGTGTGTTGTGTGTGTGGTGTGTGTGTTGTGTGTTGTGTGTTGTGGTGTGTGTTGTGTTGTGGTGCAGTAGAGTCTCACCGATGAGTCCGGAGTATGTGTGTTGTGTGTTGTGTTGTGGTGTGTGTTGTGTGTTGTGTTGTGTGTTGTGTGTTGTGTTGTGTGTTGTGGTGTGTGTTGTGTTGTGGTGCAGTAGAGTCTCACCGATGAGTCCGGAGTATGTGTGTTGTGTTGTGTGTTGTGTTGTGTGTTGTGGTGTGTGTTGTGTGTTGTGTTGTGCGTTGTGTTGTGTGTTGTGGTGTGTGTTGTGTTGTGGTGCAGTAGAGTCTCACCGATGAGTCCAGAGTATGTGTGTTGTGTGTTGTGTTGTGCGTTGTGTTGTGTGTTGTGTTGTGGTGCAGTAGAGTCTCACCGATGAGTCCGGAGTATGTGTGTGTGTTGTGTTGTGTTGTGCGTTGTGTGTGTGTTTGTGTTGTGTGCAGTAGAGTCTCACCGATGAGTCCGGAGTATGTGTGTGTTGTGTGTTGTGTTGTGTGTTGTGTTGTGGTGCAGTAGAGTCTCACCGATGAGTCCGGAGTATGTGTGTTGTGTTGTGTTGTGTGTTGTGTTGTGTGTTGTGTTGTGGTGCAGTAGAGTCTCACCGATGAGTCCGGAGTATGTGTGTTGTGTTGTGTTGTGTGTGTGTGTGTGTGTGTGTGTGTGTGTGTTGTGGTGCAGTAGAGTCTCACCGATGAGTCCGGAGTATGTGTGTTGTGTGTTGTGTTGTGTGTTGTGTGTTGTGTTGTGTTTGTGGTGTGTGTTGTGTTGTGGTGCAGTAGAGTCTCACCGATGAGTCCGGAGTATGTGTGTTGTGTTGTGTTGTGTGTTGTGTGTTGTGTTGTGTGTTGTGGTGTGTGTTGTGTTGTGGTGCAGTAGAGTCTCACCGATGAGTCCGGAGTATGTGTGTTGTGTGTTGTGTGTGTGTGTTGTGTGTGTTGTTGTGTGTGTGTGTTGTGTTGTGGTGCAGTAGAGTCTCACCGATGAGTCCGGAGTATGTGTGTTGTGTGTGTGTTGTGTTGTGTGTGTGTGTGTTGTGTGCAGTAGAGTCTCACCGATGAGTCCGGAGTATGTGTGTTGTGTTGTGTTGTGTGTGTGTGTGTGTTGTGTTTGTGTGTGTTGTGTTGTGGTGCAGTAGAGTCTCACCGATGAGTCCGGAGTATTGTGTGTTGTGTGTGTGTGTGTTGTGTGTTGTGTTGTGTGTTGTGTTGTGTGTTGTGTGTTGTGGTGCAGTAGAGTCTCACCGATGAGTCCGGAGTATGTGTGTTGTGTGTTGTGTTGTGTGTTGTGTGTTGTGTTGTGTGTGTGTGTGTGTGTTGTGTTGTGGTGCAGTAGAGTCTCACCGATGAGTCCGGAGTATGTGTGTTGTGTGTTGTGTTGTGTGTTGTGTGTTGTGTTGTGTGTTGTGGTGTGTGTTGTGTTGTGGTGCAGTAGAGTCTCACCGATGAGTCCGGAGTATGCCAGCAGACAGTCGGCGTAGTTTTCCTTCAAACATCCAGTGAGGGAGCGAGGTTCAGGCTGACAGTTCGCGAAGAAATCAGCCAGACGAGACCTGCAGGACACCAAGACCATTAAAGCTCCTCAAGAACACCTCAAGAACACCTCAAGAACACCACATGAACACCACATGAACACCTCAAGAACACCTCAAGAACACCACATGAACACCACATGAACACCACATGAACACCACATGAACACCTCAAGAACACCTCAAGAACACCTCAAGAACACCACATGAACACCACATGAACACCTCAAGAACACCTCAAGAACACCACATGAACACCACATGAACACCACATGAACACCACATGAACACCACATGAACACCTCAAGAACACCTCAAGAACACCACATGAACACCTCAAGAACACCACATGAACACCTCAAGAACACCACATGAACATGTTCCTCCTCAAACACACCTGCACTTGTGTTTTGTTTCATTCACACTTGTTTATTCATCTGTCTACATCTCTATAAGATCTACATGCTTTGTCCCACCTTGTGATGTCATGAAGGGGTAGTTCTCAAGTTAACAGCTCCATTAACCTTCAGTCGACACTGGAAAGTCCAGTGAGTAACTAAAACACTCTGTTCCACACTGTGATGTCATTAAGTGATAATCTCCTATTTTAAACTCCACACAGCTTCACTAGAATCTTAGACTTAAACTTTATTGATCCACAAGGAAAATGACAGAATTTCACACATCACAATACAATATAATATAATAACAAAGAGTAAAAATATAAATGCTAATAATAAATTCTATAAAAGTAGCAAAAAAGAGCAAGAGACAGGTGAACAAGTCAAAATAAAATAGAAATCATCTGGATAATTTCAAACCTTAAATTGTCTCTCTACTGACCTAAAGATTAAAGGAGCTGTGTTTAAGACCTTGACCTTTATTTATCCATTTATTCGTTGCTCCTTCTGTGTGTGTGTTAATCTGGTCCTTGAGCCCCGGACTTGGATTCACAGGAGCTGAGACAGTCGGACGGAGGCTGGGCGTCTGATCGCTCGCCAGGCACCCTTCTGCCCCCACCAGACTGCAGAGGCCACCTGACGGGCACGGACTATAAGAGGGACCGTCTTCTGCTCGCTCGGTGTGGCTGGACACCTGCGTTTGACAGCTCGACATTTTTATTCAGTTGTTTCTCATTTTGCTTTAATTAAATGTAGTTAATATGATGAAGTGAGATTCAGGAGCAGGACCGCGCCTCAGCCGCCCTCTCCTCTCACCAGCGAACCACAACTCACCTCGACCACGCCTTCAATTTCCCAGAAGCCTATAGGTGAGTTTCAGCTGATGTCATTGTTATTAAAAGCCCGCGTTGCATGCTGGGAAATATTTTGGTCGGAGGCAAGAAACAGGATAGTGGTCAAACACAGTGCGTAACCTCGCGTATTTATCCCTGATAATGGTAAATTCCTGCTGCATTATCGGATGCACAAATAGAAGCACGGAAGAAGGAAAATGTCTTTTTCGTATTCTGAGTGAAAAGAACCACTAACGGTGAATTAAATGTCTTTCAAACATCCGCAGAGCAAACGTAGAAGATCCTAACAAACCGTGGACTCCAACAAGTTCAACAACACATCGAGACTCTTGGAGGTTTTCATCTTTTCTGCTGTGAATGGCCCAGGAGTTTCCACCAAGTCATTGTGGATGTCGCCAAAGTGAATATTTGTCCAGGTAGTTGGTGATTCAGACCAGAAATTTGGTTTGGTCCACCTTTTGTCGGGGTTGAAAAGGGTGATTTGGCTCCATCGATGCTTATGACCAATTTCTGGTCAAATGGTCTTGGGTCCTCTGCTGTTAGAGTGGAGAAATAACCGGGATCAATACCCTTTACGTGCTTTCTCACTCCGTCCGTCATGTTGAATTAGTGTTTCTTGCCGCCGACCAAAATAATTCCCAGCATGCAACGCGCACTTTTGTCAACAATGAAACTCGCCTATATGTATATTATCCCAGTTTGTCTCGGCGAACTCGACCCCACCCTCCCACCCCCATTTTGTTCGTCTTTCAGTCATAAGACCCTGCAAGTGTGGTCCCGTTCCGGTTGGGCCAATTGAAGATTGAGATGGAGCCCCCACCTCGAGTCTCAGCCCAGCCATCTCTGCCTCGCTTCGTACATTATCAATAAACTTCTTCGCATTATGTCATTGTTGGTGTGGTTCTAGCTAATGAAGCCTCTGTTATTTGATTTCATTTGACACACTTTTATTTTATTATTATATATTTTCCTCTCCTACACTCTAAATTAATAAACAATTTTTAGTTAAACCTTTAAAATCTTGTTTTTTATTGTTGCTTCCCTGTTAACCTGAACACTACCACTTCATGACATCACAAGGTGGAACAGAGCATGTTGAGCTCTGGAGATGTAGACAGACTAATAATAAAGAGTTACTCCAACATGTGGTAACACTTTATAATAACTACACCTTATTTATCCTTAATAAAGCATGAACAAAGACTTAATTAATAATGAACAAGGATTTAATTAATATTGATTCACACTTAGTAAATGTTTAATAAAGCATAATCTGTCTTCACTTTAGAAAAGCTCTCAAAAAGACTCATAGTTTACTAATGATTAATAAATGCTCAAATGGTTAGTCCATGAGTAATTAAGTATGAAATAATTATGAGTAACTATTTACAGCACAGGCAAATTAAGTGCAAGTGCTAATTAAGGTAGTAATTAAGTAGTTAGTAAGCGTGAATCATTATTAATTAAGTCTTTGTTCATGCTTTCTTAAGGCTAAATAAGGTGTAGTTATTATAAAGTGTTACCCAACATGTGTGAATGAAACAAACAAAGAAACAAACAAAAACAACTCCAGGTCTGTTTTGAGGAGGCAACAACATTCTACCATGGCTCAAAGCTCACAAGTCTTCAAGTCGTACATCACAACTTAAACAAGTGAACCGCCGAACACATCACACCTTCAGTCAGCACGCCTCTCTCCTCCGTTCCGGGGGTCGGAGGAGAGAGGGAGAAAGGGAGGAGGAGAGGAGGAGAGGAGGAGAGGAAGAGGAGGGAGGTGTGGAGTGGTGCAGTGCAGAGAGCTGTCAGGCGCCGTAAACTGGCCCTGACATATGGAGAGGGAGCAGAGGGAATGTTACAGGTCTAATCTAACACAAGCACTGACTAATGCACAGGGACAGAGCGAGGGAGGGAGAGGAGAGGAGGAGAGAGGGAGGAGAGAGGAGAGGAAAGAGGAGAGGAGAATGGAAACAGAGGCGCTGAAAAGAAAGAGTCAGAGAGAGAGAGAAAGTAGTGGAGAAAGAGAGACTGAGAGGGTGAGAGGAAAAAGAGGGGATGAGGAGTAGAAAGAAAGAGAGAAGACGAATGGAGAGCGAGAGCAGAAAAAGAGGGAAAAAAGAGAAGAGTATGAGAGTGATTTACACCTCCGCTGGGGCGATGTGGAGAGGAGAGGGAGATGGAAAATGATTCAGAACAGTGAATTAGGGCAGTCCATATAAATTAAAATTCATTTGTGTAAGTACATAGAGAATAATTAAAACTTCCACTTAAACATCTGAGTAATACACTTATGAAGCTGTTCTCTGTCCTCTCTTTCTCTCCACCTCTCCCCCTTTTTCTTCTCTCTGTCTTCCTCTACTCTAGTTCCTCTCTCTCTCCCCCTAACCTCCTTCAGCTGTTCTCTATAGCTGTTTACCTGCAAGTGTCCTCTCCCTCCTCCTCTCTACTCCGTTTTCTCTCTTTCCTCTACCCCTCTTTTTCTTCTCCCTTTTCCAGTTGTTCTCTCCTCTACGTCCTCTCACTCTCTCACTCACTTTGTTCACTCCCCCCAACCTCCTCCAGCTGTTCTCTGTACCTACAGGTGGAGTTGTTCTTGCAGCTGTTCAGTGTATGAGGGAGCGCGAGAAGGGAAAGAAGATGAGAGAGAAGGTAAAAAGAGAGACAGGAAAGGTGGAGAGCAGATAAAGGAGAAGAAAGACATAGGAGGAAACAGGAGAGAGATGAAGGGGCGAGAGAGAGAGAGAGTAGAGAGGCAGAAGATGTGGAGAGGAGTGAGCGGAAAGAAAGAGGGGGAGAGAGAGTAGGAGAGGGAGTGGAGGAGAAAAGGTGGAGAGTAGAGACAGATAGTTCTTGCAGTTGTTCAGTGCATATACCTGCATATATAATTGTTCTTGCAGGTGTTCAGTGAGTATTCCTGCATATACAGTAGTTCTTGCAGGTGTTCCATGTGTTTTATACCTGAATATATAGTCGTTCTTGCAGGTGTTCATTGCACATAACTGCATATATAGTAGTTCCTGCAGGTGTTCAGTCTGCATACCTGCATATACAGTAGTTCTTGCAGGTGTTCAGTGCATATACCTGCATTTATTGTTGTTCTTGCAGGTATTCAGTCTATATACCTGCATATATAGTTGTTCTTGCAGGTGTTCAGTATGTATACCTGCATATATAGTAGTTCTCGCATGTGTTTAGTGTGTTTTATACCTGAATATATAGTTGTTCTTGCAGGTAATTAGTTTGTCTTTTATACCTGTATATAGTTGTTCTTGCAGGTGTTCAGTGTGTATAACTTCATATATACTACATGTAGTATGTAGTATACTACATGTAGTATAGTATAACTACATATATATATATATATATATATATATATATATATATATATATATATATATATATATATATATATATATATATATATATATATATATATATATATATATATAGTAGTTCTTGCAGGTAGTCAGTGTGTGTATACCTGCATATATAGTTGTTCTTGCAGGTGTTCAGCGTATATACCTACATATATAGTAGTTCTTGCAGGTAGTCAGTGTGTATACCTGCATATATAGTAGTTCTTACAGGTGTTCAGTGTGTATACCTGCATATATAGTTGTTCTTGCAGGTGCTCTGGAGCTCCAGGCAGTTGGGTTTCTGCTTCTCTTCGTAGGAGCACACTGGGACGATGGTCTGTCTCCGGCGCTCGGAGCAGGCGGTCTGGTCTCTCACAGGACACGAGCAGAACAACATCCCATAACTCTGCTTCGCAGGGACCTGAGGAGAAACCACAGCACACGTCCCTCACCCTCGTATTCAAACATGAAGACTCTGAGGTGTCTGCTCGTATCAGCCAATCACAGCCTGCCACTTTTGCCTCTCAACCAATCACCTCTCCACATAATATCACATAATGTTGCCACTTGGGTCTGATTTTCAGCCAGTGTGATGAGGAACACGTCCTCCAAAAACACACATGCCAAAGTGATATTTCCACAGGCATTTCAATGAAACATGGACCAGTTTGGAGTGTTCTGAACCAGTTAAGAAAACAAAACTGTCTTCACTGGCAAACACAAAAATACACATGAGAAATACTAAATTTGTTTTTCAGTGGCTGTGCTGCAGAATATTTTTAAAGGAAGTGTATTTTAGGCATTTTAGGTTTAAACAAATTTCAGCATTGAAACTTACAACCCAAATGAGTCATGTGAGACTGATTCTGCTTTTTGACTGGATCATCATCTTGAACCAAAACAGTCAGTAAAAATATTATTTGAGTTGAACATGTTTACCTTATCTTGATACATGGAATGTAAGATCAGAAGATTTACTGGTGGAGTGCAGTCTGAGGCCAAGACTGTGTCCCATACGGACATTCCCTGTTAACACCTCGAGGTATCCTCTTCTCAACTTATGACCATGAACTCATAAAACAGCAGCATGTAGAACTTTGTCTGCAGCTTACCACGTATCAACCTGGAGCAGAAGAGCTGAGTTCAGGTAACAGCAGCAGTGCTAACGACACGGGAGCACCCGCTGTAGCGCGTAGCCCTTCAGGATGGGCTGGGGGTCTGGTCCTTGGTCTTGTGCCGTCCTCCAGGCACATTGGTCAGATGGTCCAGAGGCTCCATCCTCCATGTCCTGGTTCCAGACAGGGTCGAGAAGACCAGTGCACAGTGGACTGGGTCCGAGTGGGTCTGTGCGCGCTGGATCCATGCGGGGAAACCGAAAATGTGCTGTGGACTGCAGGTCCAGGTGCATTGGTCCTGTCCTCCCTTCTCGAGGATTGTGGTTGGTTCTGAGGTGGTGCAGCATCCAGACAGAAGTGTGAATCCAGTTTGGGTTGTTATATCTTGTTCTGAGTGTTCTGTCCCTTGGTTCTTCCCGGGGAAAGCAATTCTTACGTTGATGCACTTAACATCACTCCCCGCTCCAGGTCCTTTGAGCCCGGCCTGATCCAGAGCTGCTCCTGCTGGGTCAGGACTCGGGTTTGGATCCAGTCTGACTGTAGCATTTCTCACACTGGGCTAAATGCAGTTTATTTTATAAGTTGTTTTATAACAGTAGCACTGTGTTAATGGGCCAAGGAACATACAAACCAATTGTGACGCTACTTATCCAATCAAATTTGTGCATTCAAGGTGATCACAGCTCTGAACACAGACACATTGTGTTAACAATACATTTTGATGAAATGTGTTTAACTTGTATTTTGCTTAATTTGACAGTTTATTGTTCATACATTCAGACATTGATAAAACAAGGTGACTTTTGTATCACAATCATAACGCGAGTTAGACATTCTGATGTCCTGGACCTCTGCTGGAGGACATTTTCTCTGACTGGATCTCCTCAGATTTTAGTTGAACACTGCTGCTTTACTGTGTCTTTAGCCAAATGAGAGCGCTGTGACCCTAAAACGTCTGTAAAATTGATAAAGTGAATAGAAGTTTAATGAGTGCGTCTCCAGCTGCTCGGGCCCTGCCTCCAATAAAACTCAGCTCTGGCCCCTGGCTCCTGGCCCCTCACAGGCTCATATCAGATCACAGCTCTGGCCTGTTTGCTCATGTACAGAGACTTACATCAGAAGAACAGACTCGGGCTCCTCTGCGCCGCCATGTTTGTGCTGTATGTGCACACTGTACAAAGCGCTGTCATGTCTCTGCTCGTAATTACACTGTTGACAGGTTTTTCAGCAGACAGACGCCTCTGCTGTTTTGTGAGCGCATCAATGTCACCACTTCTTAACAGGCAGAGCACACAGACGTATGATGATTTTTTGTGAGTTCTGACAGACTGACTCGAGCTCCTCTGAGACTCGCTGTGCTTGTGTGGAGGTCTGCTGTTGATTAGAAAACTACGGGAGATTTGTGGAAGTTTGTTTGGGTCGGACGTGATGTAAACCTGATGAAATATGATCTTAATTATCACTTTGTGTCTTCCTAGACTTGGTATTCAATATTCAAATGAATTTATCTTAAAACTATCATCACTAACTACATTTTAAAGAAAATAAATCATAAAAAGAAAATCATACAGAAATACACTTAAAGCAACACTGTATAACTGTAAAAGAATTAAGATTTTGCTGCACATTTCATAAAGGTGACCTGTCTGTGTGGGGTCAGCCTTATCATCAGAAGGCCGTCTAGTCAGAAAATCCACGTTCAGGTAGTGTTTTCAGTATACCACAGATCTTGTAGGGTATTTTCCAAATTTTCACCTCAAAGTTCATAAAGACATTAATTTCACCTCAAAGTTCATAAAGACATTAATTTTATACAAACTTCCAATTTTGCAAACAAATTGAAAATAAGAGGCCTTGATATTTTCGCTCAGCTCAAAGTATATGTACTATTTAGGCGTGTCATAAAAATGCTCCTGCCTGGTCATATTGAAAAGGGCCAACTGTAAGGCATTTTTAGCTCAGCTTGTGAGCTGTAAACTCATTGTCCAGCGTCTGTCTGTCTGTCCGTTAACCATGGCTGGACAAATCTAGACTGTTTGACTTACAGAGTCCATATGAATGTCTTTAGATACCTTGGGGTAATAGCTCTTTCGTATTCTTGAATTATGTCACAGTGACCTGCTTTGTGACTAGTGGGCCTTCTCACTACAGGGCCTTCTCACTACTAGTGGGCTTTCTGACTAAGGGGCCTTCTGATGATAAGGGTGTAACCGTCTGTGTACTAAGATAGAGCTTTTACTGATGACAGTTGGGACACTAACTATTCTTTGTTACACTGGACATTATCACTTGTTTGTGCTATAATTTGGTGCTTTGATTCTCAATCCAGTCAGAAAGCAGAACAAATCTTTCATTTAGTTAATTTAGTTGGTTTAAACCCAAAATACATCTGCAGCTCAGAGAGTGAATTCTGAGTTTTCACATGAGACCTGTCCTGTCCATAAACTGAGACTGAGAAACTCTTGGATGTGTCGTACCTTGTCAAAGAATTGTCTGAGGGCCTGTGGCACTTCCTCTTGTTGCAGACCTCTGCTGTGGACACTCTGCTGGTGCAGGGGCTGATGTACGCAGAGCGGTACTTCTTACACGTGTCATTCAGGTTACACGCTTTGGCCGCGTTCAGACAGTTGTTCTCACGTGCCACCGCCGGCTCTCCTGTGGAACAACACACAAACAGATAAACAGGTGAGTGTCCACTGTGTCTCCTGTGCAACACACCTCACACATGTTCAGGTGAGGACAAGGAGCAATGTCCACTCTGATCTGTTTTAAGATTTGCTTTAAACAACACATTTTCAGGCATCTGTGAGCATCACGTGAAGTGTTTAAATAGTTCACAGGACATCACAACATTGTAGAATCTCTATAGTAAAACCTGAGCAGAGGCAGGTCAGTGTTCAGTGAGTCAAATTATCTTTTCCACAATAACTTCATAAAGTGGTGTCATTATTCAATCCCAAATACATGATTGTTGTCAGATGAATTGAAAGGTCACAGTTCCTGTTTTTAGAATACTTGGGTCATTTCTCATAAGGACCAGTTTTAATATAAACATACAATTTCTTTCATAGACCAGTGGACGTTGGGGAGAGTGGACACTATGATAATAATACATAAGAGTCATAGAAATGAAAGCTTTAAGCAAAATGAAAACTTATTCCTCATGTTTGCTGGTTTATGTGGTCACTGTGGCTCTGGATCTCTAAAGTGGCTCATGAACCTCACAGCAAAAAAAAAAAAAAAAAAAAAAGATTAGATTTTCATCTGTGGCCCGGTCCTTAAAGAACACCAATGTAACATTTGAGAACCCTACAGGTGTCAGAAAGATGCACGGTGTTGCTTTAATGTGTCACATATCATAATCATACACATAACATGCATAATGTGATCGCACTCTAGTCCACATGTGCAAGACCAAGGCCCATGGGCCACATCCGGCCCACCGAGTCATTTTATGTGGCCCAAAAAGGGTTAAAAGGTATAATTTATTATTATGTTGTGACTCTGTGCCGCTACTACATCTCCCACAATGTACCACATTTGACATCTTGCCAATAGAGAGGCCAAGAAAACTCATCAAATTTCCCCAAAAATGTCCAAGAAAAGACAAACTGATGCAGGACAGCTATTTCATGAATGTTACTGAAGGAGTAATGTGAATGTTTGAACTTAAGCCTTTAAATCAAATCAAATCCACTTTATTTCTACAGCAAATTTCACAAACAAAACAGTTTCCCAAGAGCTGCACAGTACAGATTAAACATATCCAAAAGAAATATAAAGTAAAGCTCTACTTAACTCTACTAGTCCTCATTAACACAATAAATCTAGTAAAATCTATAAGAGCAAGAATACCAGTAAATAATAAAAACGTTTAAAAAAAAAAAAAAGAAAGAAAAAATACAGACTTTTACAGTTTTGTAACATATTGATATTACAGTTACAGTTGCAGTCTTAACTTTACAACCGGCCCTTTGATGACAAAAATGATCCAAATGTGGCCCTTGGTGAAAATGAGTTTGCCAGCCCTGCTCTAGTGCAGATACTTGACATACAGTACATGACAGACGGAGCCTTGTATATCAGTGAAACTACCACACATGTGCTCATAAACGCGCTGCTTGTGGGAGCAGAGGTGTGGTACTTCCAGACCTTTGTGACCTTCTCTTCCTCTGAGCCCACACAGCTCAGGTCAGACCAGAGGCTCACTCCAGTCACCTGACCATCCTTCACACTGGACAAACACATGTGGGACAGCGCTGAGCGCTTCCTACAGAGCACACCCCCACCTCTCCTAAATCTGTCTGGGCGCACCACAGGAGAGTCCTCAGGGTCCATTTAGCTTCACTACTTCAAAGTGGAAATAGACACTAAATCTGTAACAGCAGTGTCTATTGTTTCTGGTTCATTTTTGTGCAAACTAGGTCCATTTGCAGCTTTCTGATCAAAAACAGTCCAAAGTTTTACTGTGTGCTGCATGACATAAGTACTACATAACATCACTCAGGACTGCTCTGGTGTTTCTGATACAAACATCTGGCTGCAGGGGCGGAGTTTGAAGTGTGGATTCCTGTTGGACCAATCACACTGTTCCTTATACCTCCAGACCCCGCCCCTCCTCCCCCCTCACTCTCCTCTTTAGTCCTCCAGACCCCGCCCCTCCTCCCCCTCACTCTCCCCTTTAGTCCTGCAGGTAGTGCCCAGTAGCAGTTCTGTTTGAAATGCGGTCGTACATTTGTTGCGCCGCACCTGCACTTCTCCTAAATCTGTCCCAGCGCACCACAGGGACGTCCTCAGGGTCCCGTGAACTTCATGAGCCTCGTAACCCACCTCCTCCACTCACCCTGACTGATGTGCTCCTGTTATTTTGTGACTTATTTTACCCACGGGACCCGCAGTAAAACATCCGACTAACTGGGCTGCTTCAGATGGGCTTGGTTCATTTACAAAGGGCTGAGGTGTAATCTACAAAATACATGCAATTGTTATCTGACGGAAGCAGAGAAGGGTCACAACAAACGCACACGCCACAACAAATACAAATGCGACAACACAACAAAAAGCCACAACACACCAAAAAAAGTGACAACGAAAATGACCGCGGGACTCTATTTTAATGCAAACGCCGCAACACAAACGCAAATGCTGCAACACATTAAAAAGCCACAACACATCAAAAAGCCACAATAAAAATGACCGCGGGACTCTATTTTAATGCAAACGCCGCAACACAAACGCAAATGCTGCAACACATTAAAAAGCCACAACACATCAAAAAGCCACAATAAAAATGACCGCGGGACTCTATTTTAATACAAACGCCACAACAAATTCTAACGCCACAACACAAACGCAAATGCCACAACACATTAAAAAGCCACAACGGAAGTGACCGCAGCAAGTTCTTCTTCTTCCTCTTGCTGCTCACCGTGACAGAAGAAGAAGAACTACAACGTGAAAAATAAAGGAACGGAGAAGTTGGAAACGTAAGTAAAAGTCATTTATTGTTTTATCATTATTCGTTTCACTTTGTACTTCTTCTTCACTTGCCGCTTGATCGGTCCGTCGGAAAATAGAGTCCCGCGGTCACGTCCATTGTGGCTTTTGTGTTGTGGCTTTTGTATTTGTTGCGGCGTTTGCATTAAAATAGAGTCCCGGGGTCATTTCCATTGTGGCTTTTTTTGGTCTGTTGTGGCTTTTTGTCGTGTTGTCACATTTGTATTTGTTGCGGCATGTGCGGTTGTTGTGATCCCTCTCGGCTTCCGTATTATCTTTTACCATGTGTTCACAGAGTTCTTTGGAATTCCCAACTTAAGCAAACAGTAAAAACAAGCAGACAGAAGAAAGTAAATATGACATTCTTGCTGTTTAAAATAAAAACTAAACATTTTAAAAGTGTCAGTAATAAGGATATCAAGAGCTACTTTATATTTGAATAACGTCCCTTTTGTTTGTTTTGGCTGCAGTTTTCCAGAGGTCTTCTAATGACGTGACCCTCTCATCTGTCAGCCTGTTCTCCGCTCGCTCCTGGACCCTCTGCTCACACACTGTTCTTCTGTGTCCCAGCATCTGTCTGCTGGACTCCTGCTGCCCCCTGCACATGTCCACACACACACGCTCACATACACATATGCACACGCTCACACACACACTCCCACACATGCACACGCTCACACACATGCACATGCACACACACTCGCATACACAAACACTCACATGCACACACACTCACATGCACACACACACACACACTCACTTGCACACACACCCGCATACACACGTATACACACACACACCCATACACACTCACACTCAGGCACATGCACATACACTCACACACTCACATGTACACACACTCACATGCACACACACACACACACACTCACTTGCACACACACACACACTCACACACACACACGCACGTACACACTCACATGTACACACACTCACACAGGCATACACACACACTCACACACTCACATGCACACACACACATATATGCATACACACATGCACACAAATGCACATTATGTTGAAACAATAAATAATATTACAGCTAATGCATCCACACAATAACCAAAAAAGCAGGATAGGAAACATCAAAATAATCATAGAAGATATTTATTCAACCCTCTCGTGCTGAAATCTAATTAGTACACAAAAAGAATAAAAACTCCACACTAGTACAAAGACAAAGAACCCACGATAAATACTGACCCCAAAATAATTGTAGTTTCATCTTTCATGTACTGAATGAAGTGGACATAGTCATGAGTGTTTCCACGCCTCTTTGGGACGTTACATTCAGAGCCACTCATTTCCTGGAGACAGACACATGTGAGCTACAGGCTCTTTGACCTATTTTTATACATTTATTTTATGGAACAGATTTTTATGAACATAACGGGTTTTGAACTCCACAATGTGATAAATACTTGTACACAGAATAGATGCACTTTAACATGACGGGGCATCTGGCCTGAACCGCCCTGTCCCATCCTGTCTCAAACTGATTATCATGTCGCCTGTTTCTTCTGACGCTCCTCTCTCTCTCCTCTGGCTCTCTTCTGATTCTCCTCTCTCTCCTCTGGCTCTCCTCTCTCTCTCTCTGCTCTCTCTGATCTCTCTCTCTCCTCTGGCTCTCTTCTGATTCTCCTCTCTCTCCTCTGACTCTCCTCTCTCTCTCCTCTGACTCTCCTCTGATTCTCCTCTGTCTCCTCTGGCTCTCTTCTGATTCTCCTCTCTCTCCTCTGTCTCCTCTGGCTCTCTTCTGATTCTCCTCTCTCTCTCCTCTGGCTCTCTTCTGATTCTCCTCTCTCTCTCCTCTGGCTCTCCTCTGATTCTCCTCTGTCTCCTCTGGCTCTCCTCTGACCCTTCTCATGACCGTCAGCTCCAGTACCAGGGGACCGGCTGACCTCTGCACACACGCAGCCCGAGCACGGTGCCTCTGCTCTGGGTAAGAGCCTCCCTCAGACCCCCTGATCTGTGGACATGCACCAGACTGCTCCTTTCACTACACAACTTAAAGACGCACTATGTCACTTTTCTGTTGCCAGATTGAATGTTTTTCTGCTCTATACAGTATAGTGAGCTCTTTAAGCTGTGTTTAGCTGGGCTTTCACCTGGAACACTAAAGAAATCTGGCACCCTATTGA